CACATGAAGATCAACATGGCCAGGTCAAGACGACATATGGATATGCATATTATACCAAGGAGGTTGTATTCAAGCACCATGGGAAGTTCCAAGCACGTGACTTCTAACTAAGGGACAGCAAAGTGAACATCTCCTATAATAATGGTGTCTGAAGTGATCCAGGGGAGACCAAGTTGATCTTGGGCAAGAGTTTCACTTTTGGAAGCTGCAGATGACAGTTGATAGATCTTTGAAAGCAAATGACAAGGATCTATCCACTTTCAGAGAGAAATATCTGGGGCAAGCTCACAGACTTCTTCAGGTTCCAGGTGACTGGATGAAGAGCTTCTTAATAAGTACAGAGACAAAGATCTATAACAGTGGGGAAAGAAACACTTCAGTTTCAGGGTAATCCTAACATCACTGGATTTAAGAAGAACACTCCAATCAATAATGTTAATGCTAACATAGAATCATAGACAATAAGAGATGGAAGGGACCGCAGGAGGTCATCTAGTCCAACTCCCTGCTAAAAGCATCCCCAACTAAATCATTTCAGTCAAGGCTTTGTTGAGCCTCGCCTTAAAAACCTTCAAGGATGGATCCACCACCTCTCTAGATAACTTATTCCTGTGCTTTACCACCCTCCTAGTGAGAAAAAGTTTTCCCAATATCTAACCTAAAACTTTCCTTGCTGCAACGAGATTACTGCTCCTGGTCATCTGCCACCGCTGAGAACAGTCTAGCTCTACCCTCTTTCAAACCACCATTCAGGTAGTTAAAAGGCTGCTATCGAATATCCCCCTCAGTCTTCTTCTGCAGACTAAATAAGCCCAGTTCCCTCAGCCTCTCCTCAGAAATCATGTGCTCCAGCCCTTGAACCATTTTCGTTGCCCTCTGCTGGACTCCAACTTATCCACACCCTTTCTATAGTGGGGGGGCCTAAAATTGGACACAGTACTCCAGATGTGGCCTCGGTAGCGTAGAATAGAGGGGAATAATTACTTCCCTTGATCTGCTGGCAGCGCTCCTATGAATACAGCCCAATATGCTGTTAGCCTGTTTGCCAACAAGGGCACATTATTGACTCATACCCACCTTATTGTCCACTGTAAACTTCAAGGTCCTTTTCTGCAGAGCTGCTGCTTAGCCAGTTGGTCCCAAGCCTGTAGCAATACACAGGATTCTTCTGTCCTAAGTGCAGTACTTTGCACTTGTCCTTGTTGAACCTCATGGGTGTATCCACATATGCTGGCACATGCACTTGCAGCAGCTCAAATAGCAGTGGCACAAATTTGTGCCGGAGATTTGCTCCTCGGCACATGTGCCTTAACATGAACTCTGGTGTGGGGCAAATTGTGCCACTTGGGGCAAAATGACTCTGCCCAGATGCTCCCTAATCTCCAGCCAGCAATATAAGAGCCTGCCCTGGCAAGCAGCTCAGGGCTACTTGCCTTTATGAGCTTCTGAGGCTACAGCACTTGGTATCTGGGAACACTAGACCCATGTGCCAGCTAGCCCTGACCTAAATTGGCCCCTGCACCTTCTACCCTCTGCAGCAGTCTGGCAGTGGGGGCTGCTGCCTAGCTGTGACCTGCTGCACACCTGTGACAGCATCTGCCCCCTTGGACATGCCTGCCATGGCTGCCTGCCTGCCAAACCCAGAAGGGGACTGCACAGCTGCCTGGGCTGTTGTACAGGTACTGCAGCAGAGCTGCCTGCACATTTGGGCCAGCTACCAGTGGGCCGTGGCTACACAGCAGGCCTCTGGGCAACACTACTGTCATGTCTTCTGGTGCCCCTGCTCTGCCATCTGGGCAGCTATTGCCCATAAGATGTGCTCCTTGCAGTGGCCCACTTTAAACTGTTGAAGTGTGCCTTTCTGGCCCCAAATGGCCAGGAGGTCAGCCACCTCATTTGCCCTCTGGCTGGGTCTCTGGCTTTGGTCCTGGGCAGGCTTCTTGCCCAGGGTCCTGCTACTTGCCTCACTAGCAGGGATCCTGGTATTCCCCGTTTAAAAATGGCAAATTCTCTGACAAATAAAACCCAAATTCTCTCATTAAAATACTCAAAATTCACGTTCTTCTGGAATTAAAATGAAACACCCCTATATATAGAGAGATCAGTTCAGCAATGTTTTATTGATATATTTACAAGTGTAAAACAATTTGGAAGCCTATCAGTGCCACTATCATCATCATAAAACAAATTCTAAATAATCTATACATTTTGGTGTTTGCCTTTGGTTTTATCATAGAAATAAAATCAGAGTTGCCCCTCCACCCTTTGCTCACCAGCATGTGGGGTGCTGAGCAGCACCAATATACTAGTGCCTGCCCCTCACTTTCAACCCACAGCCCCTCCCAATGCTCACTAGCTCCCTCCTGGCAGCAGCTGCATCCTAGCACTAGGACATGAGTCCAGTGGCAGCTGTCCCACCCACTGCTGTGGCTCTGAGCAGTGCCAGCCCTTGCTGCTGGGGCCTGGTCACAGGAAGCAGAACAGTCTCCATGCTGTTCCTGAGAAGCCCTCCACTGGGACTCAGGGATTGGGCTGGGCAAACCCCTTCCTTTCCAGGCTGGCCTCCCCCTGCACAGGCTACTCTAGGGGGGCAGGGAGTCTAAGCCTGGCTCAGGCAGTCTCTCCTACCCAGGACACTCCCCACCCCCAACCCTCATCTCCCTCTCCCTCTCTGTTGTACACCCCTGCTGCCACCTCCACCCCTAACCCCAGCCCATCACACCCCACCCAAGTTTCCTTGGACCAGGAGCCCCCAAAGGCCAGGGCCCCATGTCCCAGCACTGGTGTAGGCAGGGCTGCAGCGTGGCAGGTGCCCCAGCAGCCGCGGCTCCTGCCAGCAGGACCTGTCTCGTCTGGCAGCTGGGCACGCAGGGTGAGAGATGTGGGGTTTGTGAGGGCAGCGTGGGGGACTGCTCAGGAGGGGTGGGTCCTCCCCCACAGCAGCAGCCGCCGAGCCTGGCCAGTCCACAAACCCTTGGACAGAACCAGGCCAGCTCCTGCTGTCATCTGGGGCTTCCAGCACTGCAGACAGAAGCTGTACGCCCTCAGGCCAGGCTGGGTCCTGCCTGCATGTGCCTTGCTGCTGCGGCAGGGAAGGACAGCAACCCACCCTTCATGAGCAGTCCCCACCACCCCCACCCCCTTATTCTGCTTACTTGGGACAGCACCCAGGTCCAATCCACTGCTGCAGCCTTGCTCTGCTCCTATTTTTCCCCAGCATGTGGGGGCACCAAGGCACCAGAGCATCTTTCTGGAGGACCTAGCCTTCAATTACTTTTTTCCCCAGCTTTTTTGATACCAGGATTTCACAGTATAAAATTTAGAGCCTGCGCAGGAACATTTTTGTTGTTGTCGTTTCTAGTGTGCCTCTTGTGGCATCTCAAACTACTTTGAGGCACCGCAACAGGCACGTGCACGCTCATCTCAATGTGCCCCATAAGATTTCTTTTGGGCCAATCCTCCAATTTGTCTAGGTCACACTGAATCCTGGCCCTACCTTCCAGCATATCTACTACTCCCCCTAGCTTGGTGTTGGCCATGAACTTGCTGAGCGTGCACTCCATCCCACCTTCCAGATTGTTAATGAAAATATTGAACAAAACTGGCCCTAGGACCAACCCCTGGGGCATTTCACTTGATATCAGCTGCCAACTAGACAGTGAGACACTGATCACTACCTGTTAAGCCTGATGATCCATCCAGCTTTCTATCCACAAGTCCACTCATCCATAAAACATTATCAGTCCCGAGTGAAATGACATACAGTGAAGGGCACCTTGGAAATTCTTGATGCTGCTACTATAGATGATGCTGGGAGAGCGTTCGATAGATATCAGGACAACTCATAAATCCAACAAAAAACCCTGCTTTGCCCCATGTGGGATCAGAACCAGGGCCAATAAGTAAAATCACTGCCAAAGGTCCAGCCACCATTATAGAAAGGGAAGGATGATTCTGGCTTTTTGTTATTGAGTACTTGAATTGGGGGAAGCAGTTTTGAAGAGAAGCAAACTGCAAGTCCCTTTCTCCCACAGAGCCAGAGGTAACTGACTGACAAGTGTGTCCAAGAAATATCTGAACTTTTAAAATGATGATTCAGCTTTCTGACATGCCCTCAACACCTTAAGTGATATCGCTTCTAGATGGAACAATGGCAATACCACTTTTGCAGAAGCAGCTGCAGCAGGCGTTTCTTTCATCTAGGTAACTTCCGAGTGAGATCCTCCAGTCAAATTTTGTCAGGAAAAGATTTTAGATCTCTACTCTCTGGATTTTGGAGAAGTTTGAAAACTGCTTACAAAACCCATGTTCAGGAGAAGGTCATATCCACATAAAGACAAAGTCATTTAGGAACACTAAGACTATTTCAAATAATTGCCCTC